CATACACCGTTGTTGATACCGACACCCTCGGGAAAGTTCATAAAGGCTTCAATAAAGGCTTGTTTATATCCTGCTCATAGTAGGGTTTTAGCAGCGTAACTTGTAGTGTACCGGAGAGAATTTTTCTAGGCAAAGCAGCTCAACAAAAACTGCTATACTCAGCATATATTTCTGGGGTAGTAAGTAGCAGTATTGTTAAAAGTGAGCTCGAATGCATCCTGCTGCTTTCGAATACGCGCCTTGTAGCTCCGCAATGCTGTAGGTTATTGCCTCTTCGTTCTATAGTACGCTTTCTCTCTAAGATATCCTTTCTGATAATTTTATAGGTAAATTTATAAGGCAATTAGAATCTACAAACGCCATTAACCGGAATATACATAGAGAACACGTAGAATAGAGCTAGTTAGACAAAAATTATTTCTATTTCTGTTAATCACGTACTGAGAAATGTAAGATGACCGACTTGCAGGCAAAGGGATTCAAACTCCCATCGTATATCGCGTGGCTATTGATGTACGTGAATTTGTATGTCCATGTGACGTGTCTATGATTAGAATTAACCGCTGGTTTTAAACAAGAAATGCAAGCCTCTATCACGTATTGTAACTCTGGTTAAGCCGCCCAAACTCCCTCCTTCCTATCGTAGATTCGTATGGTTAAGGTGAATTTCGGTTCCGAGGGAAAGGCGCCGTAATTGGATTAGAACTGGCCTGTTCCTGCGGCTAATCCCCAGAACGTCAATATTAGCGAGCCGCACTAGACCTGCATGGGATTTTGTACGTCTAGAAAGTTTCAGCTCGGCTTCTGTTGAGTTGGCATCTATGTATGTAGATAATTTTGTAAAGCATGGACACGTTTTATAGCGGTAGTTTGAATACATAAGTAAGTTCTTTTCTTCATATACAGCACTTCACGATCACCACTCCTCCAAATCACTGCAGCAACATTATCGCCTCAGCTATGACAATTGATCCAGTATCATGTTATTTTGTGGCAGGAATCTGCCTTGCGGGTTTGAAGCTCGCGGTGACAGGCTTGAAGGGCTTGTTCAAATGGATCAGACGGTGGTTGGCCCGAAAACTCAAGTTGAGTATGCTACTCGACGATAGAAAGCTATACCTATCTAGTAACCTAATATGTCTTATCTCGATAGAGCAATATGTCGCGCTTCTTGACAAGGAGCGCGAGTGCCAGCAAAGGTTCCTGGCAGATCGACTTCGAAGCAATCCAGCCACTTATCGCCGTGCTTTGAAATACGCCGCCGCAGTACAGGCAAAACAGGGAGAGAACTCTCTATGCGATGTCGAGGATACTGGAGACACTTCCGACTACGAGACTGGCTCGGACTGGAGTGGGGAAAGTTGTGCGGCAACCGAGGTCCCGGAATCGGACTATGAGCTTGATTTAGACACCGATTCTGATTGATAGGGGTCAAAGTCTGCGATAATGAGGGGGAATAAAGTCTTTCGGTTGCGAAGTGCCCGCGTAAGTAGTCAAGAAGAAAGCGTGTTTATAGGTATAATAACAAGGCATATCAACATTATGTTAGGATAATGTCGCCGAGTTTCAGCAGCCCCGCTGTCACCGGATCCTCCCGCTAGATAATGTTTACTACCCTGGCTCCTCCAGTTGCCCTCCATTAATATTTACGCTACTATACAAACCTGACCTCAAGTTCCAGGGGTCGGTTGATAGGTGTCATCCGTTTCGGTCAGGAAGATCCGGGGTCTGATCAATATTCCTAGGGATTCTTCCATATGTGGCCTGATTTTCGCGTTTGTTATTACAGTGTGAACTGCCTTGCCTCTTGCCTATCGATATACTTTGTACTATGTCGTATGCTGGATGCTATCTGAGGGGTCTGTTGGTGCCCAAGTACCTATCTACGAGGGCGAAGTATCGTAGGGCTCTACTGAGCCGAGCTGCTTTCGCCTTTTCATCCTAGCCCTTTCAGCGGAATGAAAAGGAGACGTTAGCTATAGAGGCAATCCTTACTACCTCTCCCTTTGCCGCGTACTCTACCTACTCCCTGACGAATTCAATCTTCATAATTAGTTACAGTAGCCTAAGCTAACACAATGGTAGTTATTCGCGGGATTATGGCAGCCCTTCATGCCCCGACACGAAACACGCCGAAGCCAGCCAAGTTGAATCTCCCACTTTTGGCTCCCAGCAAGATATTCAGGGTTTACCCGCACCGACGACAAGAGCCCTCGGAACTAGACGATATGGAGCAAGGAAGCCTTTGTTTGCCTTTGCTAAAAACGAAAGCAGATCTCGCGCCGTTTAGCGGATAATGATACGATGCGGGCAGATCGACCAGGGGCTACAGTTGATTACCTAAGGAGAAGTAGCTTACATCTAGCCTTAGTTTTTACCCGAGGAGAGGCTATGAAAACCTCTAGGATGGCTTTGGCCAAGCCTCCAGATGGCGGATCATGTGGTTGGCACGAGCCGTTGCAATAACGCCACAGGCCCGCGCCCCGTATATACATACGTAGCACTTGCAGCAATGGCTCACACCACTACAGATAGAGTCATTACTCACTCGTGAGTCCTTAATGCGGGCACTCGAATACCGGGTCTAGATATGGCTGTCCAGTTGTATCCTTAAAAGCTGAGACGAATGAGATTCTTTAGCGGACTGGACTATCTATTTACACTTTGCATTGATATTGGTATATTCTAGATACGAGTTGTATAACGTCCATATCTCGATAAGGTAGCATGTATGTAGTTAAGATAGATAATTCGCTACTCGTTAAACTGATCTATAACTCAAATGGTCTCAGTTGGACCGGGGAGACCCATGCAATACCGTTGTGACCAGTCCAACTACTAATCCGACGGTTGTAGAAATTGAATTTAAGCGCCGTATTATCTTCTATATGCGGTCTCTACATTAAAAATCTGATTAAGAATTACACCAGAGAAGCGTACAGAGAGGGCAGAGAGAAAACGTGGCTTCGAATGTAAGGTACCTCTTATGGCATGGGGTGGACAAGAGTGTGTAGGAGGTGTAGCACAAACACCCCCTATGCGTAAACACTGTTGGCTAGAAGGAGGATCTCACAGTTACATAAACAAAACTCTTGTGTTTATTTACATCAACAATACAATGTACGCACCTCTGTCTTCCTCTACTTCTTCTACTTCTTAGCTACCTGCTCTACGAATATTACCCATATTTTCCTTACAAGATACCTAGCTCAACCTCTCTTTCGATCATCCTCTTCTACTACGAGTAGCCCCGCCGGAGGTGCCGGGTTCCGTCGATTCGGCAAATCACGCTCAAGTTCCGGTAGACGGCATGCAGCCATGTTCAAACTCGCCGGCGTTCAGGGATCCAAACATTACGGCCAAACATAATAGGCTTGATGACGCCACGGGAAGTATGGACAATTTCAGGCAAGATTTGACGGCGTTCTTCGCTCAGGAGATGAGGACTATGAAGGAAGAGCTTCAGACTTCTCTCAGGACTTCTCTCCAGGACGATATCACAACTGCTGTCCAGGGTGCGATCAAGCCCCTCGAAAACGACATTATGGCTGTCAAGGATGAGATGATCGCCCTCAAGGATAGCTATAAGGTTCTCGAAGACGAGATCAGAGCCGTCAACCTGACTGTCGGGCAGAATCATCACGCTTACCATGACGACATCAAGGCTGCTAAGGATGATCTTACCGAAAAGATCAACGCCCTCGGGCAGAGACTCAATGCTAGTATTGCTGCTCGGTAAGCTACTTATTCCTTGGTCTTTTACTTGCTTTTCTCAATAAGAAAAAGTCTAACTAGTACGGCAGTGAGAGTAATAGTATTGCACGTGCGAGAAATAGAACGCATCCCTTGAAACTTACGCCTCTTCATTCGCTTTCTACAAATCTTCCCATTGAGGGCTTCCCGGAAACTGAAAAGAGACTAGCCATGCGTAATGGTAAGATTATCATTCTTTATTGCTTGGAAATAGCATTGCTTTTGGTGTCTTTAGCTAATATACTATTTATAAACATAGATTTGGTCGTAGCCCAGATTCTACGAGAGCTTGATGATCCGTATAGAACGCTGGATTACAGCGATGTGCTTAATCCGAAGGAAAGGCTGAAAATGCTTACGGGAGTTAACTTTAAAGTCAACAATTAAGATTGATGTTTGTAATCAACTTAGAAATAAAACGAAACTTCTTGTTTCGTTAGTTTAATACATAAAATGTATAAAATATAAAGAAAGCTTCCTAAAAATACATTATTATTTCGTTTAGCTTTTAATTATATATTATTAGCTATTATAAACTATGCTAAAAGTGTATATGTTAACATTTGCTTATTTATTAAACTTTATTAGCCTTTAAACATTAACTTACGCAGGTGGTTAAAGCACTTTTTAAAAGTATTTAGCTTAGTTACAGGTGTACAAACGAGGCCCTGCATTTTATAGATTTTACAAGCGCTAATATTAAGCGAAATTATATATACATGTTAACCTAGAGTTGCCCGTTATTTACTTTATGTGATGATGGGTTTCTTGTTTTACGTAATGTGACTTTGTTCGGTACAATGTCACGGTTGGACTACTTCAACGAGACGAGGCTCGCAGTTTAAGGTTAGGTACCTTTCGTATATTAATCGTAGGATGAAAAGAATACACTAAGTACAGCGGTCTAGAATATCTAGGTGTAGGCTACGGTGGGTGTGGGTCCCCTGTGCCCTGTGGCTGTCCTAGCCTCAGGTGGCTAGAAACCACCCAGCCGTGACTTACAATTCTAAAAAGTGGGGTTAAAGATAGGGAAAACAATGCACGAGCCACCATTACTATCTTACGTATGTTCTATGTTTCCCGCCATGTTTAGTTATATAAAGTATATATATAAATGGTGAAAAGGGAATAAAAACAAAAATAAAGGACAAGACTAAGGAGGTGTTAAAAACCACCGCCTGCACAGATATCGACCAACCTAAACACGCTGATCGAATGTAAACCAAGCTAAAAAGTTTTAAAAGAAGGGGCTCAACCGGGATTCGAACCCGGGGCCTCTCGCAAATCAGAACTAGACCCAAAGCGAGAATCATACCACTAGACCATTGAGCCGATCGTTGTGTGTTGCTTGTTAAATGAGGTCTACAACTTAATTGATATTGCACCATCCTGCCTATCATTGTTTGGCCATAAACATTTATGTAGATGCCTGTTGCTCGCAGCCAAAACTAACTTCGTCCGATGCAGCGCTATCGACCTATGCGTACGCGGGAAAGGAAGTGCGATATTACATTAACCCTTCAGGGTGTACTGATCTTACTTTCGGCGGTCGTGGAAAACCCTGCAGCGGAATTCTGCAGCGAACTAGAAATGGTGGCAGGGTAGAGGTGGTATTGGTGTAACAGAAGAAGAGATGAAGGCAAATGACACAGAGCTCGCTATGAAGGGTATACGCACTTTCTTTCGTACCTCCTACACAATAACTCTCTATTGCCTAGTACATAAACAATGACTCTGATGCCCCGCATATTTTAATTGTGCAGCAAAGTGGCCCCAGGGACTAAGCATAAGAGCAATTCTCCGAAGGAAGGTGTATGTAGGCTAGTCTCGGATACGGTTCACACATGCGAGTAAGGTAAGGCAGCGTGTTGTGTTCTTTAAATAGTATATACAAGAACGGCAATCTATCATCGTTATTTCTTTAAAACCTGTTGTTTCTTCATCTCTCCTCGTTTCGCATCGCTCCTTTGAGAGCGAAACGAATACATCGTCTGCGTCCTCTTCGCCCCCCTCCCTTCTGTCGAGGGGGGAGGACGTTAAACTCTTGTGTGAACGATAGTCTAGAAGTGTAGTGATACATGTCTTATCATCTCATGAAAAAGGAAGCTATTTAGAAATGCCAACAAGATACGGAGGCGAAGAGATCCTCCAATTTGGCAATCTAGATCCCTCTCAACCGATCTCCAAGCCCGCTCGCAGCCCCCAGGTCTGCGTTTTTGGTATTTCTCGCGAATATCTCTCAGGCGAGTATGTCCTGGTGAAAACATAGCTGACGACAAAGGGAATAAAGCAAAAACACATATAGACCCGCGATGACGAGGTATTATCGCCGGTCTGTCTGTCCAATACAACATGGACAAATGATAGTGATACAGGGTGTCATAAACGCAACGCAAATGAATAGAAGGATAAACCCAACCCGCGAGGAGATACAAACACCATAACGCCGACACATGTATTCATATTAGTAGTGCTCCTAGGTCCAAAGAAGACCCAACCAATCAAGACCTTTGGGCATCCCCCAAGGCATCAAAGTATGGCAGAATAGTAGAATAAAAAAAATCAAGACGTCGATCATTAAATGTGCCGCCCGCGTAATAGATAGCGATGATAGGGTCCGCGAATGATGAGGTGGGAGCAAGAATCAAGGCTGAGATGAGGGGAAGGCATCACAACAAAGGAAAGAAGTAGATGGGTGCCTAGAAGAAGTGGCGATTACTCCTCGGTGTGTTCCTGTAAATGCATGTCAGCAGGAGGAAAGGAGAGAATAATCAGTGTAGTGAACACTTACGAAGCACTCGAGGAGATATCGTCGAGATGATTACATAGAGCGACGAAGAGATCAAAGAACAGCGGCGACCCGCCGTTATACATCTCCAGTTGCATGGTGCCGCTGCGCTTGAAAGTGCTACGGCTGCGGATGATGAGGGCAAGGTAATGCGCTCGTAGCTTTGAGTCGTTGTCGGGTGTGTGGGCGTATGCATATCGGGCTGACGCCAGTATGGTGCTGCACTGAATACCTGATTCTGTATTGAAATCATTAGTGCATGTCAAAGAGAATGACAAGAACGTGTGCGTAGACTTACGAAGGCCCTGCTTTCGCAGCGCAACACGCTTGAGCTCGTCCATCCCATACTTCTCAGCTGTGCAGTAGATGACAGTATCCTTAAGAATATCGCCATCGACGGAATGATGGTATATAGTGGGCTCAATAGCCCCCCTCTCTTCATCGGGTTGTTCAATCTCCCATGAGTTGCGACGCTTGTTGTGGATTAATCGCGGGTAATAGTCGCCCTTATAGAGGTACTCGAGGACAGATGAGAAAATCTCCGGTTCATCGTCGGGCAGATGGAGGCGCTTTCCCATCTGTGGATCCGGATATTGATCCGCAAGCGCCTGTTGAAACCACGACGATGCACTGAGTACATCTTCATGCGCTGCAAAGATTCGCTGATCTCGACCGATGACAAGGGTCACGATAGACGGCGTCAAAGTGCTGGTACTATATGCAAGAGAAATGTTAGAAATGAAATGGAACGATGAGATAAGGAGAAATGATCCTACCTCTCTGGTGACATTGTTGCATCCATGTGCTGAGACATGGATGTTGTCAAGCGACGGCGGGAATCATGTCGACTTTTGGTGATGCCATGGCTTTTGCTGCTGAAGGATGTATTCGACTTGCTTGCTCTGTGGCTCTTGGAGAAGCTCTTGCTTGGGGGAGGATCGAAGCGCTTGCTGGTATACATATTGAAATGGATATGAATAGTAGAAGTGTTGCGTGTTGTTTTGCAACCTCCGACCGGCCAGTAGTCAAAAGTTCGAAGGTATTAGGAAATACCTCGGTCGCAAATCGCACCCAACTCTCGTTTTCGAGAAACCAAGTCGAAACTTACTATTTGGTTGATGCGGTGACTTGTCATGTGTTGAGAAAAGTGAAGAAAAGTGGTTGTGAAAATGAACAGATCAAATGACAGCGATGAAACTGGATGGTTTTGCCTACCTGTTGGAGTCCCCTTCTTTTTGAAGGAATAGAAGGAGAGAAAGTTTTGGGGGGCATCCTCATTATATAGTGGCCGACCCATGCTAGGGGAGGCAACGCCGCTGCTTGAATGCCTACTGTAGTAATGAAATGCAGCCCGTATCTTCAGGCAAACACGCTCGAGCGACGATGGATGTTGGCCCACGCGTCTGGCAGAACGGGATATTTCCACGAAATCACCTGACTCATTAAACTCAGAATAGGAATAGCGCCCGATACAGCCCACCCTGTTTCTCTCAGGTCGGGTGTGATAGGTGGGTGCTTGTACTTCACGGCGGGGCCAAAAGGAATCGCCCAGCGGGCTGGTTAGCGGGGGTTTAATGGATTACAGGGCGAACTTACAGGGTATTTCCACGCTAAGCTACACCCACTGTACCCTTCGGTCAAGGATTAAAAAACATGCCACAGAAGCTCCTTGCATCATCGGAAAAGCAATTGACCCCAGACAATCTATGCTACCTAGGCGTTTTTTAAATAAAAATTTAGAATGCCCGATAGTAACTATCTCCTTAGAGCTCTCAATTGCCATGTCTACCCCTCGAGAATACTAGACCAGATTGTCCCAATGATCAATTACTGCAGGCAGACACCAATTGCCCCAACAAACTGTGCTGTCCCGCCTCGGCCATACTTCTAAAATGTCACTCGCAGTTGAGAGAATAGGTCCGAGTAGTGCTAGCTACCGTCTCATTGGGCTGGATCGGAGTCACGGCCCCATGAGATTTTAGTGTCAGGGGGAAACTTGGATTGACAAAGTGTAAGTCTCAGATGGCAAGTACGGCCTACATATGTACCTACGACCTACAGCTCAAGGTACAGGTACATACAAAATGGAAGTCTTACTTCCCCGCGCAATCAATGTCCGCAATGTGACCATCTCAAGGCAGACAGATTACTTGTGACTCGCAATCCATTAGTCAACAGCCTCACAATACGTCAATTGGTCGCCTTTTTATTCTAGAATACCGTTTCCTAAAAGGAATACTTTTTTAAACAATCAGGAATGATCTAACCGCAAATGCTGAAACTTCGCCATGCATATGCAGCTTGAATCTACAGCAGTTCACAATGCTACTAAATTCACATGCAGTCCATGTGTGAGTGGGTCGCTACAGTTCGGCAGAGTACCTCTGCTGAAAAACTGAGGTATCTGACTGGTCGGAGACGTGTCTCACTTGCACACAGAGCACATATAGTACTGTCGCACCCATGCGAGCAAGGGATGTAATGGGCTTGCACATCGGACTCAGCTTCCTGTTAAGATAACAAGCTGCCTTGGCCTCTGACACCACCATAATTCCCAGCTCTGTATAGGTGGGTAACGCTAAATCCTGCTACTACACTATCAGCAAACCGAGTCCGGTGTGAACCACGCTCGCCACGCTCAGACCCCAACACTGACGGGATTGACACCCAAACCACGCCCAGACCGGACAGGAATATTCAATTTAAATCCCTGCTAGGCGTTTGAGTTTAAGGATGTCCTAGCGTAGTAAGTATGCTGTATAGGTACTATGGATCTGATAGCAGTGCATACTGTCAAATTCCATGTTAAACTTAGGTAGGCAAGTGGGCAATCCCGCTACATTTTCTTATTCGCCTCATTCACAGCATATCGATGCAAGCGTCCCACCTGGAGATCCAACAGATAAAGACGATGTAAATTCGATATGTTTGCGGTTAAATGATTGTGATGATTGGGGGTGTTTTTTTCTATGCATTCTACTAGCCTATCGAACCTCTTAATGTCCCACTATCTTCTCTGCAAGCCATGTCATATGCAATCGCAATGCAAGACACTCTTGTCCCCATGTCTCCAACTGCACATGCTCCACCATTCCTCCCTATTTAAACGATGGACTTTTCTCTTGTTCCGTGTTTGTCAAGAGAAGGACAATCCCAATACCCAAGATTGTCAGAATGAGAGAACAACACAACCCAGCAGAAATGCCTGCACACTTTCCTTATTGTTCCACCATCGCTGCAACCAAACGGTATTAACAGTCTCTAACCAGTATTGGCAGCAGGACACCATGTGGGAAGAATACCCAAGGCCCATACACTGATGCACCTATTGATCCCGCGCCACGGCAAGGGCTGCAGCAGCCCTAGTCGTCGAACAACGCATTTGTCACGGCGCCATTGCCCCCAAATGTCTTGAAGTTGGCCGCGCATCCCGTAGCAAGAGGGCGGGTTGAGAGCTTGCCGGTCTTGCGCTTCTTAGACTTGCCGCCCTCAGCACGCTCATTTCCCTCCACACAGCATGTGTTCTGGGCCTTCGCCTTTTCCG